CCCGATAGTGAAAACCCCTCAAAAAAAATTAATAAATAAAAAAATAAAGTTAAATAAAATAATTCTTTTTTTTTTTTTAAAAAAAAAGAGGGGCCAGCAGGTGGCATGGTGGTTAAAGGCACTACGGTTCAAGTCCTGGACTTGGTGGCTTGCTTTCCCACTTTCTCTCTCTCTCTCTGTGTCTTGCTCTGGTCAGATTAAAAAATAACAATAATGATAAATAAAATAAGGAAAATAATTCTTTAAAAGAAAAAAAGAATATGACTTTGGAGCCAAACTTTTTGGAGTGAAATTTCAGCTCTGCCACTTATTAATTGCATACCTTTTCTGTGCCTCAATTTGCTCATCTGTTGAATGGGATAATAACATTATCTATCTCATAGGGTTGTGAGGATTGAGTTGATCTATCTAAAACATTTAAAACAGTGCCTATCAAAAGACTCAATAAATGTTTTTAATTTTATTAGTACTTAACAATGCAATAGAAATGAAAAGAGCTTTAAAATACAAATGTTAAGGATTAAGAAAGAGATGAAGAATTTACCAATTTTTTCAAATTATTGAGTGATTATTTCTAGATTTCAGACCAGGAACAATATACTGTTACTGTCTCATCTGACATGGCTTACCTTATCTCTAGTACAAATGTGCTTCTTATTCTCTACTTCACAGACACGAGCAAACTTAATAAAGCGCTTATAATCAAAATTATTTTGGATCCCGAGGTGGTGGCAGTCCCTAAAAATATTTCAAAACAAAGAGATGAACTTTTCAACAAAGAAACTGTTGAAAAACACTTTAAATACTGAGTTCATACAAGGATTTTAACCCACTTTTCTGAAGAAATTAGCGCATACCTGGCAAAATAATCCCACTTGTCCACATCAATGCCATTTCTTTTATTTGCCACTATCTCATAAAGGAAGCTTTTCTCTTTAGGACGTCCCTTATATGGCCACTGGAAAATAAGAAAACTCATTCTAAGTTTTAGGATAGGCACCAAATCTATTTACAAGCAAAGCAAAACATTTGTACTTACATGCAAATTGTAAACAGACACTTGACTGGAAATATGAGTTAAGTTTGAAAGTTCTACTCTTTTCTTCTACTTGATTCCTAAACTAGTGGAAAGGGGAAAGAAATGCTAAGGTATATAATATCTCATTAATATTAAATGTTCTTGTGCCATTAAAAGGATGCTAATTCCATTACTCTTCCCACAACCAACAACTTTCTTGTTTTCCTTATTTAACTTTCTAAAATGTAAAAGATTAAATAAAAGTTTCTTAAATGACAATGCTTAAGTTGATGGATTAAAATAGTACTACTGGGGCCAGCAGGTGATGTGGTGGTTAAATGCGCTGGACTCCCACATGGCTGACTGCGGTTCAAGTCTCAGACCTGGCGGCTTGCTTTCTTGTTTTCTCTCTCTCTCTCACTCTGTCCCTCAGGGACCAAGTTGAAAATAAATAGATAAAGTTAAATAAAATAATTCTAAAAAAAAATAGTACTATTAGCTAAGCCGAAGGGTACATGCCTGTAATCCCAGCTACTCGGAAGGACTGTGAGTTCAAAGCTAGCCTGAACAACATAGTAAGATCTTGTCTCTTCTCTACTAACAAAATTAAAAAAGGAAAGAGAAAGGGAAAAAAAAGAAAAAGGAAAAAACCCTACAATAGTACCATCTTTCAAAGTAGCTACATACTTAGTCTAAATGATATGCACTGTTCAAAGCATTTTTAGAGTTTTATTTTTTTTTGGAACTAATTTTTGAACTTCTTTTGTAATTAAAAGGTAACAAAACAGATTTTCCTCTGAATGAGTTCTACATTGTTCTAGGTCTTCATATATCTAAGTATCTCAAATATGTTTATTTTAATGGCTAAATAAGATACACACTACATTTCCAAAATGAAATAACTTTAGGCTTCTACTGCATACATATTAATTACAACAGGACTATATGTTTTTAATTTGGGAGTAGCTTCTAAAGAACTCAGTTAAGAGGTAAAAAAATATAAGCCTTTCATTTTTTGCATTAAATAATAAAAATATACAACTTCTATCAGCCAAATGCATAGCTCTGAAGGAATCAAAAAAGACTAGCTGAAAGCACATCAGGTCAGATTAATTTATACACGAACTTACCAAAGAACCTTTGATGGGTGAATCAAGTGGTCCTGTAATTTGTTCCTTGATAAAGCAAATATCTTCTTCAGGGACAAGACCATATTGTTCCATGACAGCACTGAGTCCATTAGAATTAACTAGATGCTCAAACATCTGAACTGAGCCCTGTTCATGCTAGGAAAAATCAACACAATATGGTGTGTTACGTGAATAGACTCTAGCACATTGGGGTCCTGATTATAAAGCTATTACTGGGACCAGGTGGTGGCACAGTGGTAATGCAACTGGAAAAAGTCCTGAGTTCATGTCTCAGGGTTTCCCTGTAAATGCTGGGCATGCAAACAAACCAGTAATCCAGGCCAGCTGAGACTGGGGGTGGATCACAACGTGAAGATCTTGTGGAGGTGTCTATTTCCCTGTCTCTCTCATGAGAGAAATAAATAAATATTTTGAAAAATATATTATTATTGGGACCAGCAGGTGGCATGGTGGTTAAGGCACTGGACACTCCCACATGGCCAATCACAGTTCGAGTCCTGGAACCTGGTGGTTTGCTTTCTCACTTGCCCACTCTTTCTCTCTCTCTGTTTCTCTCTGGTCAAATTAAAATAAATGAATAAATAAATAATAATAACTTTAAAAGACCTGTCTTTATGTGTGTGTGTGTATGTGTGTGTGTGTGTGTGTATTATTCTTGGGGTGTGGCGTGGAAGTTAAGGGCACTGGACTCCCACTTGGCCAACTGAGATTCAAGTTCCAGACCTGGTGGTTTGCTTTCTCACTTTCTCATTTTTTTTCTCTCTCTCTCATTCTTTCTCTCTCTCTCTCATTCTGTCCCTCTCTGGTCAAATAAAATATATATATATAAATAAATAAAGTTAAAAAAAAAAATCACCCCCCACCCCCACCCCAGGTTGGATGGCCACCCTGCAATCCCTTCTCCTCTATTCTCCTGGGATTGGGGGCACACTTGTACACATGTCCAGCATGAGTTTTAAGCTGCTGGGTCCAGGACACAAACTACAGAGGAGTTCACCAACGTAACCATTATGTCATCTGCTAGTCCCAACTGCTTTTTTTTTTTTTTTTTGGAGAGGTTTTCGCTATAGGGCACGTGTGCTCGCCAGACAGACAGAGAGACATAGAGACAGAAAGTGAGAAATCACCCCCCGGGGGGATGGTCATGCTGCAATCCCTTCTCCTCCATTCTCCTCTCGGGATCTTGGGCATGCATGCACATGCGCCCGGCATGAGTTTTAAGCCACCGGGTCCGGGACGCGAACCGTGGTTGACTATGTGGGAGTCCAGCGACATAGCCATTACGCTAACAGCTGGTTCCCAGTCCCAACTGCTTTTAAAAAATTGATCAAGAGGGGGCCAGCAGATGGTGTAGCATTTATGTTGCTGGACTCCCACATAGTCAACCACGGTTCGCGTCCCGGACCCGGTGGCTTAAAACTCATGCCGGGCGCATGTGCATGCATGCCCAAGATCCCGAGAGGAGAATGGAGGAGAAGGGATTGCAGCATGACCATCCCCCCGGGGGGTGATTTCTCACTTTCCCTCTCACTGTCTCTGTCTCTCTCTCTCTGGCAACATCTCCTACCCTAAGGAAAAAACAAAAACAAAAACAAAATTGATCAAGAGTGCCAGCAAGTGGCACAGAGGTTAAGGCGGCTAGCTCTCACATGACTAAGTGGTCAAGTTCTGGATTCAGAAGGTTGAAAAACATACTGGGTATGTGTCCATGTGTGCCCCAAATTCTAAGTGGAAAATGGAGAAGGGATTACAACATGGCCATCTCCCTTGGGAGGGGTGATTTCTCACTTTGCATCTCTCTGCCTCTCTCTGGTAAGCACATATGCCCTAAGGCAAAAACCTTAAAAAAAAAAAAAAAAAGAGAGACAAGGTCAGGAGGGTCCAATAGCCTAGTGGTTAAGAGAACCCAGATCCCACATGGCCAAGCATGGTTCAAATCCGGGTCCCAGCAGTTTGATAAACGTGCTGGGTGTGTGAGCACAAGCATGCCCCATTGGGGGTGTTTTCTCCCTTACCCTTTGTTTGTGTCTTTCTCTGGCAATGAAAAAAAAAAAAAAAAAGGAAAAAAGAAGGGCCAGCTTGTGGCCTGGTGGTTAAGGTAGCTAGCTCCCACAGGGCCAACTATGTGGTTTGAGTCCTGGCCCCAGTGGCTTGAAAAACATGTCAGGTATGTGTGCATACGTGTCTAAATCCCAAAAGGAGGGCGAAATGGAGAAGGTCATGATTATGCCCTGGTAAGAAGTGAGGAGTGATTTCTTCCTCTCTCTCTGGTGAATGCTTGTGTCCACTGGCAATAAAAAAATAAAAATAAAAATAAAAAATAAAAGGATATATGGCTTGGGACCAGTAGATGGCGTAGTGGTTACGTCGTCAGCCTCTTACATGGCCAACTGTGACTGGAGTCCTGAAACTCACGCTGAGCACATGTGTGTGTGTGTGTGCCTAAAATCCTGAGAGGAGAGTAGAGAAGGGATCACGGTGTGGCCATCCCCCATGGAGTGTAATTTCTCGCTTTTTGTCTCCCTCTTTCTCTCTCCAGCAATTGTACATGCCCTATAGCAAAAAATCTCTCTTTCTCTCAAAATAAATAAATAAATAAATAAGGCCATATAGCTTAAAAAAAGAATATGTCAGGGCCAGCAGGTGGCGTGGTGGTTAAAGGCACTGGAGTCCCACATGGCCGACTACAGTTCGAGTCCTGGACCTGGCAACTTGCTTTCTCACTTTCTCTCTCTCTCTGTCCCTCTCTGTCAAATTTAAATAAATAAATAAATTCTTTTTTTGAAAAAAGAATATGTCTACGATTTGTCCTCAAAAGGTTCAGAAAATTTTTTTATATAAGGAGAAAGCATGTTAAAAAAACAGTGAAATGTTAATATTTGGTGAATCTGGGTTAAAGGTTTAAGTGAATTCTCTGTATTATTTTTTCAACTTTATTGTATGAAATTACTTCAAAAGTAAATATTTTAATTTTTTTTTTTTTAGAGAGAGATATTTGCTATAGGGTGTGTGCACTCGCTGGAGAGACAGAGAGAGACAGGGAGACAGAAAGTGAGAAATCACCCCCAAGGGGTATGGCCATGCCCTAATCCCTTCTCCATTCTCCTCTAGGAATTTTGGGCACACATGCATATGCGCTTCAGTGAGTTTTAAGCTGCTAGGTCCAGGACTCAAACTGCAGTTGACTATGTGGGAGTCCAGTGATGTAACCATTATGCCATCTACTGCTCCCAATATGTTAAAAAATTAAATCGGGCTAGCAGGCGGTGTGGTGGTTATGGTGCTGGACTCCCACACGGCCAACTGTGGTTTAAGTCCTGAAGCTGGTGGCTTGCTTTCTCAGCTTACCTCTTTCTCTTTCTCTGGTCAAATTAAAAAAATAATAATGATGATGAATAAAATTTAAATAATTCTTTGACTGATATTAGTTAACTTCATGGTCATATCAAATGAGTCGAAAATAGAATTGGCCCTTTTATTCATTTTACAGTAGTGTAACAAAGTATAAAGAGCACTATTTGGCAACTAAGCCACGGTTCCTGGTGTTGGCTCCACTATTGAACAGCTTTTATGATTTTTGGCCCATCAATATACCTCCATGACCTTTAAGTCCATGTACTTGTGAAAGGGGAAATAATGACCACCTTACAGACTACTGTCAGGATTAAATAAATATATATATACATACACATATGCATATACACAAATACACACACACACACACACACACACACACGTGAAAACACTCTGAAAACTCTAACAGGGGGACCAGCACTTAGCGTAATGGCTATGTTGCTGGACTCCATGGTTCGCGTCCCGGACCCAGTGGCTTAAAACTCACGCCGGGCGCATGTGCGTGCGTGCCCAAGATCCTGAGAAGAGAATGGAGGAGAGGGGATTGTGGCGTGGCCATCCCCCCGGGGGGTGATTTTTCGCTTTCTGTCTCTCTGTCTTTCTCTGTCTGTCTGGCGAGCGCACATGCCCTATAGCAAAAACCTCTCTCAAACAAACAAACGAACAAACAAACAAACAAACAAAAAACCTCTATGAGGGAAGTAAGCTATAACACACCAGTAAAATCAGATAATAACTAAATAACCTGCTTAAGTAGTCTTTACTTTTACTGATGTTGAATACATGAATACATACCTTCCATGTAATCTCTGGGCGAGCACGTGGAATAAATCTTCCATCAAACATATGAGAAAATGGGCCATGACCTTAAAAACAAAAGAAAGCCTCAAGACAAGAAAAATGTTTGCAAATTTGTAATACCTGAATTTAAAATAGATTAGTTTGAATACCACCAGAGATGAATAATCTATAAATACACCACAAATTGGACAGGTCCCACAGCACAATGGTTAAGTGCTGCGCATTGGGAACCAGATGCCACCAATCAGGGTTTAAATCTTGGCGCCAGCAATTTGAAAAACACATGTGTGCACAGTATATATGCAAAATCCTAACAGGAAGGAGAAACAGAAGACAGGGATTGCAGCATGAGCACACCTCATTGGGAGGTACTCACGCCCTGCATCTTGCTGCAAGCACACACACTCTCTAGCAATTAAATAAACCACAAAAAGGGACAATTTCTTCCTCCCTATTTTCAAAAACAAGAGAACAGAAAACAGAACCATAAAGAAAAGTAAGCTCTTCATAGTACCGGAGCTTACAAAAATCTGATGGAAGTTGACAGTTTTGTGTAAAACGAAAAGGTGGTGGTTGGGGCAGCTGGAATCCATATAGCTGACTATGTGTGGTTCAAGTCCCAGACTTGGAAATTTGAGGAACATGCCAGGCATGTGTGTGTGCATGCTCAAAATCCTGAGAGGACAATAGGGAAGAAGGGACTGTGGTGTGGCCATTCCCCCTTCAGGGGGAGATTTCTCACTTTCCCTCTCTCTCTGGCAAGCACAGGTGCCCCATAGCAAAAAATAAAATAAAATATCTAACTATAAAAACACCAACACTTCCTTTCCTATGCCCAGAGGACAAATATAAATTCTTAGGGTCTTGAATATGTAAGAATAAACTACGATTGGGTAAAAAAAAAAATCCTGTGATTAGAGAGGCAAGAGAGCACCCTTTTTAAATTTTTTTTTTTTTGAAGGAAAAGGATGATATTTTTCTCGGATTTAAGTGGCCCAAGATCTCACATGAGGGACTGGCAGGTGGCATGGTGGTTGAAGCACTGGACTTCCTCATGGTCAACTGCGGTACAAGTCCTGGACCCAGTGGATGCTTTCTCACTTCCCCCTCTCTCTGTGTGTCTCTCTCTCTGATCAAATAAAATAATAATGATGGGTAAAATTAAATAATTATATATAAAAAAGATGTTACATGAGTTAAGATAGAAAAAGGGTTCTTTAAGAACCTATCTTCTAGGTATATAAAGAATGAATTTGATGTAATAACTAATGAAAAAAATTGCAATTTTATTCAACCAGAAGAACAAAAGGAAAATCAAATTCATATCATCCTAATGTGATAGATGTCAGTATATAGTACAATTACTCCTCTGTATCCTTAGGGGATTCTGATTCTAGGACACTTCCTTCCCAAATCACCCCCCAACCCCCAAATCCCCAAATACTCAGGTTCCTTACATCAAATGGTGTAGTATTTGCATTTACATAGCCTCCTGTATACTTTGTCACTGCTAGTTTACTTATAATAATAAAATATAAATGCTATATAAATAGTTATACTGACTTTTGTGTTATTTGCTATTGCGTTGTCATTAAAAAAAACTCTTTTTGGAGAGATTTTTGCTATAGTGCATGTGTGCTCACTGAGAGACAGAGAGACAGACAGGCAGAAAGCAAGAAATAACACCCTAGGGCAGATGGCCACACTATAACCCCTTCTCTTCCATTCTCCTCTTAAGATTTTGGGCACACATGCATATGCACCGGTATGAGTTCTGAGCCTCTGGCTCCAGGCCTAGAACCGTGGTCAACTATGTGGGAGTCCAGCAACGTAACCATCTGCTGGTCCCATTTAAAAACAATTTAAGGGGTCAGCAAGTGGCATGGTGGTTAAGGGTGCTGGACTCCCACATGGCAACTATAGTTCAAGTCCCAGACCTGGCAGCTTGCTTTCTCACTTTCCCTCTCTTGCTCTCTCTTTCTCTGTCACTCTGGCCCTCTCTGATCAAATTAAAATAAGTAAATAAATAAAGTTAAATAAAGTAACCCTTTAAAAATTGTTTTTAAATAAACAATAGTTTTTTTCCTTTTCCTTTTTTTTTCTTTTTTTTTTTTTTTTGTTAATTATATTGCTGGATTCCCACGTGAGTGACTATGGTTCAAACCCTAGGCTTGCTGGCTTGAAAATCACACTAGGTATGTGTGCATGTGTGCCTAAGTTTCCAGGAGCGGAATGGAATCAAAACACAAGAGAGAGAGAGAGAGAGATCACTCCCAAGGGAGGATGGTCACATTGCAAACCCTTCTTTCCCATTTTCCTCTCAGGATTTTGAGCATGTATGCACATGCACCTGGCATATTTTTCAAGCTCGTGGGTTCAGAATTCCAACTGCGCAGATGGCCATGTGGGATCTGGCTTCCTTAACCGCCATGCTACCTGGCTGGCCCAGTTAGGTTTTTATATGTTTATTTTCAATCCACAGTTGTTTGAATCAAACATGGAGCCCACAGATAGAGAGGGCTGACTTTAGTCCCACAGATAGGGAGGGCTGACTTTGGTAAGAAAACCTCACTGTCAGAAAGCCCTTTAACAGAACTTGAAGTGAAGATGTTTTTAATGAGAAATTCAATGATAGTCTAGAAAACAAACAGCAACTTGTTATGCTTATGAATAATTCTAGGAAGAAGCAATGGGACATTTATAGTAATGTCAACTAAAGAATTAAAACATAATTTCCAGGGACCAGCAGGTGGCGTGGTGGTTAAGGCGCTGGACACTCTCACATGGCCAATTGCTATTCAAGTTCCCAGATCTAGTGGCTTGCTTTCCTGCTTTCCCTCCTCTCTCTCTCTCTCTAGTCAAATTAAAATGAATAAATGAATAAATAAAATTGAATAAATAATTCTTAAAAAAACACACACACACACACACATAAATTTCCAAAGCCAATGGCGTCATGATTAAGGTGGCTGGATTCCACATGGCCTACTAGCAGTTTGAGTTCTGAACTTGGGGCTTGAAAATCACACTGGGTGCATGTGCATGCATGCCCAAAATTCCAAAAGGAGAAGGGACTGCAGCATTGTCATCCCCCAAGGGGGGGTGCTTTCTCACTCTCCCTACTGCCCACAGCTCTCTTCAGAGTGCATACACCCTCCTCTAACAAATTTTTAAATAAAGAAAAATAGATCCTTCCATATTTCTCTTAATCTGCTATATATTTATTTGTTTGTCAAGTTTATTCATTTATTTCTTCTTTTTTTTTTTTTTTTTTTAAAGTTTGCTACAGGGCATATGCACTTGCCAGAGAGAGAGAGACTGAAAGTGAGAAAGAATCCCCTGGGGGGAAATCGCCAAGCTATAATCCTTTTTCCTTCATTCTCCTCTTGGGATTTTGAGCACATACTCTGGGCATGTTTTTTAGCCACTGGGTCTGGGACTAGAACCATGAAGCCAGCCATGTAGGATCTAGTTATCTTAACATGTCATTGGCTGCCCCATATTTTTTCCTTCTATGAGAGAGAAGGAGCAGGGACAGAAAGGCACCAAAAACAGTGTCTTCATGCCATGATTCAAGCCAAGTCTTGGCTGGCCAGATCACAGGCACATGCGCCTGTGTCCAGCATGCTCAGGGAGATCCTGGGTTCAGGACCTTTCCCATTTGCATCTAGTTGCATCACCAATATGCCACCACCTGGTCCCTAGTCTGCATTTTAAATTTCAAAGAGACATAAACATATGTTGTGATTTTACATAATACCTTTGGTTCATTGTAGAGCTTACCAAGATCGTGACAAAGCCCAGCAATCTGAACGCAGAGTAAATCTCGCTCACTTATCTGCAGCTCTGGTTGTTTTTCACGTAGTTCACGAACCAGACATCCTGCTAGATACCCTACCCTGCAGAGCAGTAAAAAAGCAAAAGTCACTTTCTTGTGAGAGATGTGTGATATAAAAGATTTCAAAAAGTTCACAGAAAAATTAAAGTATTGGGAACCAGCAGTTAGTGTAATGGCTATATCGTTGGACTCCCATGTAGTTGACCGCGGTTTGTGTCCAGGACCCGGTGGCTTAAAACTCACGCCGGGCGCGTGTGTGTGCGTGCCCAAGATCCCAAGAGGAGAATGGAGGAGAAGGGGTTGTGGTGTGACCATATCCCCTGGGGGGTGATTTCTCGCTTTCTGTCTCAATGTCTCTCTCTGTCTGGCGAGCACACACGCCCTATAGCAAAAATCTCTCCAAAAAAAGAAAAAAAAAAGTATAAGTTTATTTTGGTGCAAGCAAATTTTAAAATCCATGTGTAGTTTTTTTCACAGTATTTATTTTCCATAAAAAACAAAACAAGGGCTGGGAGGTGGCATGGTGGTTAAGGGTACTGGGCTCCCACATGGCTGACCACAGTTCAAGTCCCAGACCTGGTGGCTTACTTTCTCACTAGTTCTCTCTCTCTCTGTCCCTCTCTGGTCAAATAAAAAAGAAAGAAAGAAAGAAAGAAAGAAAGAAAGAAAGAAAGAAAGTTAAATAAAATAATTCTAAAGAATTAGTTAAAAAAAAAAAAAAAACCAGGAATCTCTGGCTTTATCTATGTTACAACATAGATTAAGATAAAGTGCAGAGGGGCCAGCAAGTGGCATGGTGTTTAGGAGCACTGGACTCCCCCATGGTCAACCATAGTTCGAGTCTTGGACCTGGTGGCCTGCTTTATCACTTTCTTCTCTCTTGCTCTGTCCCTCTCTAGTCAAATTAAATTAATTAATTAAATAATTTTTTAAAAATTCATTGAATTATAAAAAAATGATAAAGTGCTGGGGCCAGCAGGTGGCATGGTGGTTAAGGTGACTGGATCCCACATGGCTAGCTGTGTGATTCGAGTCTTGGACCCAGTGGCTTTTAAAACAAACACGGGACACATGAATGCACAAAATCCCAAGAGAAGAGAATGCACAAAATCCCAAGAGAAGAATGGAGGAGAAGGGATTGCAGCATGGCCATCCTTCTTGGAGGATGATTTCTCACTTTCTGTCTCTTTCTGGTGAGTGTACTCATCCTATGGCAAACATCTAAAAAAAAATTATCTCAAAGATAAACCGAAACAATTATTTTAAGGCTAAGAAGGTACTTGACTGTTAGTTCTCCACCCCCATTCCCTTCTTACCCTAGACTATGCTCAAATCGGTTGTGTGAGGCTCCTGGGAAAACATAGTAACCTCCTCCCAACTGTTTAACGTATCGGAGTCGCTGAAATTGAGGTGTGTCAATGATTCGGATGAGAAGAGGGTGAAACTCAATGTGGCCATGAATGGGATCATTGATTACCTAGAAAATTAGGTTTAAATTAATATGAGTAACAATATATAATGCCACATAAAATGCTTGTGCAGTCATTTCTAACTATGGTGCAAAATCAAAACTATTTAATTGAGTATGAATAATACTAGGGAGAAATGACAAGATAATATTATTACCTTCCTTCGACAGCACTACCAGACAGATCAAGTGTATTAGATCTGGATACATTTTACCTCTTACTAATAGACTTTGATAACAGAAAAGATTTCAATCTTTTTATAATATATATTATTTAATTAAATTTATTTATTTATTTGTTTTTAGAGATTTTTTGCCTTAGTGTAAAAATCAGAGAGATAGAAAGACAGAGATAGTGAGAAGGAAAGTGGCAAATCACTCCCCCAGGAGGACGACCATGCCGCAATCCCTTCTCTTCCATCACGCACCCAACATGATTTTGAAGTCACCGGGTCAGTTGGTCATGTGGGAGTTCAACAATATAACTGCTACATCATCCACTGGCCCTGATTTTGTTAACTTTTAATAAGTTAGGCTTGGGCTGGCCCCATGGCAAAGTGGTTAAAGGTTAAAGGGGCTGGAACTCACATGGCCTAACACATGGCTTGAACCCAGCCCCCGTGACTTGAAAAACACTCTAGGTATGTTTGCCAGCATGCCCAAATCCCAACAGGATGGAGAAATGGAGGAAAAGGGACTGAAATATGGCCATGCCCAATTGAAGGTACTTTTCCCCTCTCCCTATCTCTCTCTCTGCCAAGTATACATGCCTTCTGGCAAAAAAAAAAAAAAAAAGAAAAAGAAAAAAAGTCTTGTATTCAAGTTAAGCACACTCATTTAACACACTCATCCAGCTCATGTCAGGCATATTACTAAAGGCATTACATCTAAATTCATTTTCTCAAATAAAATATTTGCCGTAAGTGTTCAGTCACCATGGTACCATGACCTGCTAAAACTCTGTGTTCTAGTCTGGGACCACATGGAAGACATGGGTTCAATTTCCAGTCCAATCTAAAGGCTGGGTGTGGTTTTGTGTGCCTGTAATACCAGAAACTCAGGAAGGCTGAGGGAGAAAGATTATGAGTTTGAGCTGGCCTCAGCAACACAGGGAGAGCCAGTCTGAAAAAGAGTCATAAGTGGTGACATGCACCTACAGTCTGAGCTGGGAGGCTGAGGCAGGACAATCATGACATGCAAGATCTTGTCTTTAAAAAAAATACAAAAAACAGGGACCAGCAGATGGTGTAATGGTTATATTGCTGGACTCTCACATAGCTGACTGCAGTTCAAGTCCTGGACCTGGAGGCTTAAAAATTCATGGTGAGTGTATGCGTATGCCTGCCAAAAGACCTGTGAGGAGAATGGAAGAGAAGGGATTGTGGCATGGTCATCCTCCCTGAGGGGTGATTTTTCGTTTTCTGTCTCTGTCTCTCTGCCGAGCGTATGTACCCTAGAGCAAAAAGCTCTCAAAAATAAACAAAACAAGGGGCTAGCAGGTAGCATGGTGATTGAGGTGCTGGACTCCCACATGGCTGACCATGGTTCAAGTCCCAGACTTGGCGGCTTGCTCTCTCACTCTGTCTGTCTCTCTCTGATCAAAATTAAAGAGTAATGATAATAAAAGAAACATTAAAAATAGGGACAGCAGGTGATGTGGTGCTTAAGTCACTGAACTTCCACATAGCCAACTGCAGTTTGAGTCCTAGACCCAGTGGTTTGAAAATCACTCCAGACATGTGTGTATGCATGCCCAAAGTCCCAAGAGGAAAATAGAGAAGGGATTGTGGTATGGCCACTCTGCAGTGGGGTGATTTCTCGCTTTCTGCCTCTCCATCTCACTCTCTGATGAGTACACACGCCCTATTGCAAAAAAAACTCTCAAAATGCAAACAGGGGTCAGCAGGTGGCATGGGGGTTAAGGCAACTGGATTCTCACATGGTTGACCATGGCTTGAGTCCCAGACCTGGAAGCTTGCTTTCTCACTTTCCCCCTCTCTGTGTCTCTCTCTGGTCAACTTTTTAAAAAGTAAAATAAAATAATGACAATGAATAAAATTTTTTTAAAATGCAAATGTTGCAAAAAGAGAATGAGCTACTCAACACCTTCTCCCAGGTCTGAAGCTAAGTTTTCTTCACCTAGGGATGTCAAAGGGTGAACAATAAGGTACATTTTCTGTCACCAATCATCAAAACAATCTTGTCAAGTATGGTATGGAAAAAATGCACATTCCTGGTGCTCTACTCTAAATTTCCAGAACCAGAATTTCCAGGGGGGTCAGACAGTTAATACTTGTTAAAATGATTCTTGGGATACTGAAGCCTGAAAAGAGGATTTTTGATGTGATGAAAGGAATTAGAGAAAGAGGAATATACAATTATTCTTTTTTTTAATTAATTTTATTTATTCATTCACTTATTTTAATTTGACCAGAGAGAGAGAGCGAGAAAGAGAGAGAGAGGGAAAGTGAGAAACCGAGCCACCAGGTCCAGAACTTGAACCGTGGTGAGCCACATGGGAATGTCCAGCACCTTAACCACCATGCCACCTGCTGGTCCCAGAATATACAATTATTGACAGATTAAACTTTGAGAATATAGCCACCTTCTGAACAAATATGACAAAATAAAGTTACCAAAACTGATAAGAAAATTTCATCTGTGTGTGCTTTACATATTTTAGTTTTTCTTCTGACCTACTCTGTGTTCACTTTAGAAAATGTCAAATGTTCAAAAAAGTAAAAATTCATTAGCCACAATCTCATCATTTAGAAACTAATTTTCTTCCATTTTCTAAAAATGAATTCTATAAGCTTGGGACATACCACTTTATATTTTAAAAAGTAGTAATTCCTCTTACCTTTATTGTATCAATGGGAATTTGGGTCAGTTGTTGGGTATAGTTAAGCAGCTTCTTCCTCTCCCCCAACGAACTAAAATTACAACAAGAATCTATAGTTATTTGTCAAAGTGTGAACAATAAGGTACATTTTCTGTCACCAACCATCAAAAACAATTTTGTCAAGTATGGTATGAAAGAAATCCACATTCCTGGTGCTCTACTCTAAATTTCTATTTAATAATAATCCCTGAAGTATAAAATAGCATATAATGAACTCTAGAGTTTCTATGCTAATAGAAAGAGAAGTTAGATCAAAAAGAACAATCGAGGGAACCAGCAGTTAGCGTAATGGCTATGTCGCTGGACTCCCACGTAGTCGACCGCAGTTCGTGTCCCGGACCCGGTGGCTTAAAACTCACGCCGGGCGCGTGTGCGTGCGTGCCCAAGATCCCGAGAGGAGAATGGAGGAGAAGGGATTGCGGCGTGACCATCCCCCCTGGGGGGTGATTTCTCGCTTTCTGTCTCTATGTCTTTCTATGTCTTTCTCTGTCTGTCTGGCAAGCGCACGCGCCCTACAGTGAAAATCTCTCCAAAAAAAAAAAGAACAATCAATAATTAAAAACATGCTTCTAGAAACTCTCTCCTTTTAAACTCCTAAGATAGCCTGCTGAATCAGTGGAGGCCTCCCCCGGGGTTCTGTCCTTGATCTTTTCTCTTTGTAAACTTGGACTTCAATATTTCCTACATCACAGGAACCAGCAGTTAGCATAATGGCTATGTCGCTGGACTCCCACATAGTCGACCGCGGTTCGCGTCCTGGACCCGGTGGCTTAAAACTCACGCCGGGCGCGTGTGCATGCGTGCCCAAGATCCCGAGAAGAGAATGGAAGAGAAGGGATTGCGGTGTGACCATCTCCCCTGGGGGGTGATTTCTCACTTTCTGTCTCTATGTCTCTCTCTGTCTGGCAAGCGCACG